GGGATGTCTGTCTCTTTTTACACACACACACACACACACACACACACACAATTTGCTGACGCCTTATTTAAACCTGCATTTGCGTCTGTATGTATAATGTCTTTTTATCTGTGTCTGTATACCAGTGATTGCATGAGCCCAAAGATGCCATATGCTAAATAGATATTTTTTTTAAAAAAAACCATCAGCCCCATTTCTGGGCTCAGCTGTGCTCTCATCCTGAGGTGCTGTGCATTTTCTAGCTCCTTCACCACCTTCCCCCATGTGGCCGGAACAGAGCAGAACCTTCGCTTGGCCAAGCAAATCCAGAACCAGTGGAAGACCTTTGGCTTGGACACAGCAGAACTGGTTCACTATGACGTCCTCCTTTCTTACCCCAATCAAAGTGCTCCCAACTATATCTCCATTACCGACGATGGCGGAAAAGAGGTAAGGAAAACAGGAATGTTCCTTCTTCTGTGGGGGAAGCCCGGTGGGGAAGACTGTGTGGGGGAAAGCCACACCAAAACCTAAGATTCTTCTAGAAAGACAATTAGATTGGAATGACTTTTTTTTGTTGGGGACGGAGGGTGAAAAATAACCCTTTCTAACCTTTTATAAGGACAGGAAACAAAACAGATATTAAGCATCATTGGGTATGTTACCATCGATGTGTGAAATTTGTAGAACACCTAGGAAATCTATAGAATGGCAAAAATGGGATGTCGAAGTATGAAATACTTAATATTCCACACATTTCCTACCCATTCTGTGCAATGGCAAAAAAAAGCACACTGGCAAAGTATAAAATAGTCGAGATTTTTTGCTTTTTCACAAGCCCTCCGTGTACGATAAACTGTCTCTTTCTTCTATTCACATATCCGGAAACAGTTAGAAATATTTTTATAGTCTCTCTGATGATGTATCCCAGGAATTTATACTATACTAGCTGATAACTTGATGTTGCCCAGGTATTTATTTATCCTAATCCTATAGTAGACAGGAAAATCCTGTAGTCGGGACTTACGTTGTTGTACTGTCTGTCGCACAGCTTTGCAAGTCTTCTATTCAGAGGTGGGTATTCAGCAGGTTCTGACCAGTTCTGGAGAACTGGTAGCGGAAATTTTGAGTAGTTCAGAGAACCGGCAAATACCACTTCTGACTGGAGATTTTACAGTATCCTTCCCCTGCCATGCCCACCAAGCCACGCCCACAGAACCGGTAGTAAAAAAATTTGAATTCCACCACTGCTTCTATTCTTCTCCTCAAGAGTTTCTTGTCTATGCTGGTGTTTCATTTTTTTGATTGCACTTGGCCAATCACCTGATGTTTCCTTGGAAGGCTGAGAGGGAGCCCCCTTGTGGAATACTGGAGTACTGTGAAGCCGTTTCCATGGCAACTCCACTGTACTGTACAGTAGAAGCCATTTTAAAGCACATACACCCCCTGAAGGGTGTTAAAGGTGTCTTACCCCTCACAGTATTTGTTTCCAGAGGGTAAGTCATCTGTGTACCAAGTTTGGTTGAAATTGCTCGAGGTGTTCCAGAGTTATACTGGAACACGCACACACACACACACACACACCCATTTTTAGATTCATGCATGGAAATCAAACAACTTGTTTTGTTTGGTGCATTTGTTTTCAGCATGCCTTAAATAGTGTTGTTGTACTACAGCTCTATTTATCTGATAGATTGCAGTCCTTAACCAACCTTGGTTGACAGTAAATGAGCTAAATATTTTTGAGTCTGGTTAGGATGTATTTATTTATTCACATGTTTGTTTTGCAATAGTTGTAAACCACACAGTCAATTAAAGCTCTGGGAAGTGAACAATAGAGCAAGAAAATAATAGTTTGTTTTTTTAAAGTATCAGATTTATAATTTTAGACTACGCTTCACAATAGACTGCCCTCTAAATGAGTGGGTCTACTACTAGATGTGTGGGCCTACAACTCCCAGACTTACGACCACAATAGAGGCCAACATTTCCATCGATAACCAAGATAGTTGTTAAATACTCCATTTGACGACCTTTTTTGCCACAATTGTTAAGTGAATCGCTGCAATAGTTAAGTTGGTAACATGGTTGTTAAGTGAATCTGGCTTCCCCATTGACTTGGCTTGTCAGAAGGTTGCCAAAGGGGTTCACATGACCCTGGGACCCTGCAAACGTCATAAATGTGAGTCAGTCACCAAGCATCCCAATTTTGATCGCATGACCATGGGGATGCTGCAATAGTTGTAAGCCTATGAAAGTCTTCAGACAGCACTCTCTTCCCCTCCGTTCACAGGAAGATAAAGGAGGGAGAAGAAAGAGAAAGAAGAAAGAGAAAAACATATTCAGGCTTGGAAAACTACAAGGTGTCAACTCAAAAAACATTTTGTTTACACATTTTAGAAGTTGACAACAGAAAGAAGGGGGGGAATTTCAAAGAGCAGGCAACAGGGTGAAATCGAAAGTACATTCCATTCATATTTTCTTCAAACACTGATTAGATGGCTGAAGCTTCTGCTCTACAAAAATCTAATTGGAGAGCATGATTGATGACTCTTGGCTATGGATGTGTTTCGTTGGATGATACACCGAAAGGGGTGGGGGGGAAAGCAGGATCAAGGGTGACAGTGAATTACGTATCTCAGAGTTGGCTCTGCCCAGATTAGTGCCGGACGTAGAATGTTACCTTCAAATAAATCTCTTTAGTTTTGGGAGTGTGGCTCGAGGCTCATGATTTAATTGGAGTAACTGCTGGAACCCTGACAGATAGCCAACTCTGAGATACATAATTCACTGTCACCCTTGACCTTGCTTTCCCCCACAACCCTCTGGCACATGGACTTGCCCATATAGTTATAAGAAGTGCAGCTTTACTTCACAGCACTTCATAGATAGAAGTTTCACCAAACAGACTGCCCTCTAAATGAGTGGGTCTACTACTAGATGTGTGGGCCTACAACTCCCAGAATTCCCAGACAGCATGTGTTGTCATTTAATGACCTCGTAATCCCTTGCGGGGTGGAATCGGGGCAACTGAATGGAGCTGAGTGTTTACTGGCCGGATGCTCATCCTGTTGCCAGTGTGGAGTTCGCAGCAGATATGGCCAATGGAATTCTGGGACTCCACTTCTGAGAATTGTTGTCACTTATGTCTGGAGAATACAAGGCTGAGATAGGTCCTTGTGCAAATAAAAATGGCATATGTAAACGTTAGCCAAATCATTTTTTTTTAATGCAGGAAGCTTTAAACATAATGGAACTTCCAGCATAACGATAATTTTATTGATTTCACTTTGGACTGATAAATGCTAGGAATGGCCATCTGAAAAAAACAAAAAGAAGTACAAAGATTTGATCTATGGTAAGTTCTGGTAATTGTCCCTTTAATTGATGATCATTCAGATACTTCAGCCAAAAGGAAAGGCCCCAGTGGTGAGATTAAAAGTTTTATTACCAGTTCTGTGGGCGTGGCTTGGTGGGCGTGGTGTGGCTTGGTGGGTATGGCTTGGTGGGCATGGCAGGGGAAGGACAGTGTAATCTCCATTCCCACCCCACTCCTTTTCAGAAGGTTACTGCAAAATCCCATTCCCTCCGCACTCCATTAACCTGCTTTCCAGCTCCGTTTTCCTGTGCAGGGCAACAAAAGAAGACCCAGCCGATCAGCTGGGACTCAATGGGAGGCAGAGAAGAGATGGGCGTGGGGCCAGTCAGAGGTGGTGTTTGCTGGTTTTCCGAACTACTCAAAATGTCCACTACCGGTTATCCAGAATTGGTCACCTGCTGAATACCACCTCTGAAAGGCCCCCTTCTAATTTTTTAAATGGTGGTTATAACCACTTGGTAAGTAAATCTGATTGAATTGTAGATGCGCCTTCTGACTTCATCACTTTGGAGAGATGTCATAAGGCAGTGATGGCTAACCTTTTCAGCTTGGTGTGTCGAAAATCGGGAAAAAGTGTAGCCTTCCTCGGGTCGTGTGTCACTTCAAGAAATATCAATAATTTGGTTTATGACGGACTGGGCTGGGGTGATCACACAGGGCTGTGAAACTCGTCTCCCTGGTCTCAGGGCTGCAGGTGCAGGATGTGGGGATCGGAAGGCCACCTTACAGGGCTGTGAACCTCATGGATCTCCTTTCCTCCTGTAGCGTTCCTGAGGTAATGAAACTGACAAACCTCAGTTTATGGCGGTTAAAACTGGTTCTCTGCTGCAAAGATCTTGCGGCAGCGGTGACACCACGCCTCCACGCAACAAGCAGGGAGCAGGGATTGGAGCAGAGCACAGGCAGCCTCTAAATGTGCAGGTTTTCCCCACACCAACAGGCATGTCAGTCAAAGTGCCTCGGCGTGTCACAAGTGACACGCGTGTCATAGGTTAGCCATCACTGTCATAAGGTCTACAATTCTAAGTGAAATTTGAAAAATCAAAACGGGAACCTTCAAAAGAATTGTAATTTTAGGAGCCTGCCAAATCTAATCACACTGTCATTTCAGTTTTCAAATGAAACTTCTTTTGTCTTATTTTTTCTATGTAGATTTTCAACTCATCGTTGTTTGAACCCCCTCCTGAAGGTTATGCAAATATTTCTGGAGTACTACCGCCTTATAATGCTTTTTCAGCACAGGGCGAGCCACAGGTAAGAACCTGAACAATTTAACTTGTGTGAAATCTTTTATAGTGGTATCTTGGCTCTCCACTGCTTTAAAATTCATTGAAATTTGGTACTCAACGCAGTTTAATGTGAAAATTTTGGTCCTGGTGCTCATTGTTTAGTATTTGACGCACAAGCTAGAACAGTGTCAGCTGCCTTTTGACTCACTACATTATTCTTTATGGGGAAAAATTGTTTTGTACTCATGGTTTTTGGTACTCCTCGTGCCCCTTGAACCAACTGACGATGAGTACCAAGGTAGCACTGTATCTTGAGATGTGATGCTGGCTTTCAAAATGGCAACTGGACTTTCTTACTTTTCTTGAAGACATTTCCCTTCTCATCTAAGAGGCTTCTTCAGTTTTAACTAACTGGTGGGGAATAGAAAGAGTTTATGGTATTTGCAGCCAGACAGTTATTAACACTCTAAGTGTCAGCGGTCCAGTGAAAACTCCCCATCGCATTCAGCACTCAGAAACAAAGTTAATCCAAATAAGAATTTATTAAGGAAGTCATGTTGGCACATCTGGGAAAACCCGATCTGAAAGTTCCAGGTTTTCCCTTCCCAAATAAAATTCAAAAATCCATCCCCTGCACCCACCAGTCCATCACATAATCCAATCAAATGTTGTCCCAACTGGAGACATTCCTCTCCAGGTGCAGGGTAACATGTCCTTGACTTTATAAGAAGAATGTTGTTGAGTGTAATCTTCGACCTCTCTAAGAAATCCCCCCTCCCACATTTTCAGGCACTAAATCAGTGGTGGGATTCAGATAATTTAACAACCGGTTCTCTGCCCTAATGGTTTCTTCCAACAACCAGTTCACCAAACTGCTCAGTAAGTTAACAACCGGTTCTCCCGAAGTGGTGCAGACTGGCTGAATCCCACCATTGCACTAAATGTGGCAGCCTTGAAACTTCTAAGTAAAATATGGCTTTTAAGGCTGACACTGAGGGTCATTGAAACCATCTGGGGTTAATGAAGTTAAATCATCATCTTTGAAGATGAGTCATCTTGGGGAACCACAACACTCAATGCTCTGTTGTTACTCTCTAAGTATGTCTACAGGGGCAGTTTAAATTTCCTGTAAATAAAGCTTTTTCGTTTTGCAATATTGCCAACTTTTAATAAACCAGTTTAACTTAAAAGAATGAGACAGGAGGCCTGAAGGGGGAATCAAATGTGGGTTATGGGGATATTTGCAGTTGTGGGCATCATGTTGATGATCCTGAGCATAAACATTTAGGAAACACTTCTCTGCATAAGTGAAAGAGATTCCATGTGTAGTAAGTAGTAAATTAAATAAAATGATCAGTACCCGACCAAAAATGCTGTTTTTGTTTCCTTTCTGAAAAGGCAGATCTGGTTTATGTCAATTATGGACGCACGGAAGATTTTTTCAAGTTAGAGAGAGAAATGGGAATAAACTGTACAGGAAAGATTCTTATTGCCCGATATGGAAAAATATTCAGAGGAAACAAAGTAAGTTATTTATTTTCATCCTCTCAGGCTGTCATTGGTTTCTCAGTGACAATCAATGCCACCAAAAGAAATATTTTTAATGTCTTTGCTAGGGCTTTGTTCAAATTCTGTACACATGTTTGTTTTTAAAGTAACAATTAATTAATTGGACATGGAATTTTTGAAAACTGGTGTGGTAGAAGCCTCAAATACAGTCCACTCAAATACAGTCCAGTTGTTGTGGAATGTTTGGTGAGAATCCAGTTGGTTTTTACAAATTGTGGGAGCCAAGCCATTATCTTAAGCTTACTAGAGTCAACTGGTTCTAGAGACCTTAGTTTAGCACGTAGTCCAGAATAATGCTGTTTTGATTACCAGTTGATAATTGGGCTCCCTTTATGAACCCACTGAACCTAACCTTAATTTCTTATGTGAACTTCTTTTCAGCTGTCTACCAGGTTTTCCTGCTACCAATGTAGACAAACTCTCAGAGGGAGAGGGAGGGTGGAAAGGAGAGGGAAAGGGAGAAGGGGAGAGGGAGGGAGAGGAGGACAAGGGAGGGAGAGAGACACAGAGGCAGAGGGAGAGACAGGGAAGGAGGGAGGGAGAAAGGAACAGGGAGGGAGAGCTGGAGAGGAAGACAGAGAGGGAGAGATGGGAGGGAGGGAGGGGGAGAGAGAGAGAGAGAGAGAGAGTGCTCTGGCCTAAGAGCTCAACTATATGTTATCTTTCGTCTTGATTTCCTCTTACACTACAAGTAGGCCATTTGTGGTCCTGTTGAGTACATTGCAGTACATTGCAGTAATCCCAATGAAAGGAATGGGCACAGTTAGGATACAAAACGGATTTGTGCAAAGGCCTTCCCAAGAGGAAGCTGTGAATCTAGGATACTTAATCCCAACTTCTGACTGAGGACGTGCTGGCAAATATTCACCAACATATGGTCTTCCAAGGCAACCCTGTTGTCGAGTGCATTGTAGCAGTCCAGACATGTGACCACGATGGAGTAAATATGGGAAGGCCCAGTAACCCTTGGAGTCTTGCCCATCTTTATCCCATTAATGCTACCCCAGAAACTCCAGGGGATGCAAGGCCGTTTTGCTTCTTAACGGTTGATTTTTCTGCAGGTTAAAAATGCCATGTTGGCAGGAGCCAAAGGAATTATCCTTTACTCTGATCCTGCAGATTATTGTGCACCTGGGGTCAAACCCTACCCAGATGGCTGGAATCTTCCTGGACTGGGAGTTCAGCGTGGAAATGTGTTAAATCTCAATGGGGCGGGAGATCCCCTCACTCCAGGCTATCCAGCCAAAGGTTAGTGTCCACAGGCCCATGACTCTTTGGGTAGGAGAAACCATAGCTTGTTGATGTAATGTTCGTTTTCCATATACAGATAGTCCTCAATTGATGACATAATTGGATTATCTGAATTCTGAATTATTATTTCCCCATTTTACGATAATTCTCGCCACAGTTGAATCGTTGCAATTGTTAAGATAATAACATGGTCGTTAAGTGAAGGGGATCACATGACCCTGGGATCATGCAGACCGTCATAAATAAGAACCAGTTGCCAAGCATCTGAATTTTGATCACGTGGCCATGGGGAGGCTGCGATGGTCGTAAGTCTGAAAAACGGCCGTAAGTCACTTTTTCCAGTGCTGTTGTAACTTCGAATGGTCACTAAATGGACTGTTGTAAGTCGAGGAATACCTGTTATAGTTGTCAGTTACAAGTTTTGGACCCTTCAGATGAAGCTGGGAAACACTGTAAGCTCCTTGAAAAAAAGATGGATACCTTCTTTAAAATAGGCCTTGTAGAGATAAGTATAGCAATCGAGGGATGCCACCAAGGGTTGAAAAATGCTGAAATGCCAGTATGAAAATATTAATTAGAATCTTTCAGTGGCAAATTAATGTGAAGCCAAATCAATGTTTTTACTGTCTGAAGTTCAGCAACACAATCTGCAGATCACTAAGTAGAGTAGACTAGAGTAGAGTAGCATAGCATGGAATCGAATAGGATGGGATGGGATGGGATTGGTTAGCCTGGAATGGAATGGAATGGAATGGAATTAGAGTAGAGTAGAGTAGAGTAGAGTAGAGTAGAGTAGAGTAGAGTAGAGTAGAATACAACAGAACAGAAAATAGAACAGAACAGAACAGAACAGAACAGAACAGAATAGAATAGAATAGAATAGAATAGAATAGAATTCTTTACTGGCCAAGTGTGAATGAAAACTGTACAGATAGTCCTTGATTTAAGAGCCACAATTGAGACCAGAATTTCTGTTGCTAAGCAAGGCAGTTGTTAAGTGAGTCATGCCTGATTTTGTGACCTTTTTTCTACCATGGTTGTTAAACTGAATCACTGCAATTAAGTGAATCACATGGTGGATAAAAGAATCCAGCTTCCCTCCAGTGATTTTGCTTGTCAGAATCCAGCTGGGAAGGTCATCGGTCATGAACTTGGATGCTGCAACCAGCGGCCAGGTGCCCGAATTTTGATCACGTGACCATGGGGATTGCTGCAACAGCTGTACGTACAAGGACAGGTCATAAGTCCTTTTTTTTCCAGTGCCCTTGAAACTTTGCATAGTCCCTAAACGAACGGTTGCAAATGGAGGATTAAGTACTGGTAACCCCCGATTCCATGTCTGCGTATTCTACTCATCTCAAACTTCCTTTGATTTTTCAGACTACATGTTCAGACTTGAAGTTAATGATGGAGTGGGGATCCCCACCATCCCAGTACACCCCATTAGTTACCACGATGCTGAAGTTTTATTAAGGTATGCAGGTTAAATTACATTCAATACTTACGTGAACTGAAAAAGTTTTTCCCCCCCAGTCCATGCCTATTTCTTGACTGGGCTCAGTCTTGAAAGCTTACCCAACCAGGAAATGGGTTTGGTGTAATGATAAATAGTGCTGGACAAAAGAAACAGGAGACTGTGAGTTCTAGTCTTCCCTAAGGCATGGAAGAGACTGTCATCGTTCCAAGTAATGCACCCATTGAAAGCAGAACTCCGAGGCAGGTAGATCCCCCCAAAGGATATGTTTATTGCATACATCATATTGGCACAACCAGTGAAAACCAACTCTGAAAGTTCCCGTGGGTTTCACCTAATTAAAAGAATAATACTTCCCCATTCCCAGGTGTCACTGGTCACATTGTCCAAGAAAGATGGAAGGGCAGGCCCTTCTCCTCTTTCAAAGGCCACCTGTTTCAATGACCTTGGTTCCCACAAGAAAGCATTTTGTTTTGACCGGAGCCTGGCTATCTGCTTCCCGCCTCCTTTCCCCTTCTCTGGCTTCATGGCAACTATGAGTCAGCTTCATCCAGATGGCTTCATCCAGGTTTGGAAGAGTCACTCATTCTCAACTCAACCCATTTTAAAGAGTGGTTGTTGGGATATAAACCATTGGTTGTCTGATTGATTGATTGATTGATTAACTTTAGAACCCATCAGACTCCAGAAACACTCTGGGCAGCATATATTTAAAACAGAGCCAGTATTTAAAACAGAGCCAGTTGGTCCAGTGATTAAGGTACTAGACTAGAAAATGGGTAAGTGAGGGGAATCCCAGCACAGTTGATCATAGGAACATAGGGCATGCACTTAATGTTGCGCATGCTTGATAAGGATTGACCGGGTGGGGAGGAGAGGTGAGGGCGGAGAGGGGCAGGGCCAGCCAAGGGCACAATTTGCCAGTTCTACGAACTGCACAGAATCATAACAACCGGTTCTATAGAACCGGTCCGAACCAGTAGAATTTCCCCCCCCCCCCTTGTTTTTAACTAGCTCACCCCCTTAAAGGCGGATTAAAAATAAATAAAAATAAAAAGCAATTGAAAGAATTTAAAGGGTCTGGACAAACTGCTACACAATCAGTCAGTTTGAGTTCCACAAATGTCCTATTCCAAGGCTTGGAAGAACAGCTAGTTTTTTTTTTTTAAAGAACACGATCAGGATGGGAAGTAAAACGTTCTCAAAAAACGTGACAAGAGACAAAGAAGGCTTCTTGGTTTTTCCAGGTTCATGGGTGGTTCTGCAGCTCCAGACCAGAGTTGGAAAGGAAACCTCAACATATCCTATAACGTCGGACCTGGATTTTTAGATCACTACTCCACAAGGTTAGTCCTAACGTTTTTTTTAAAAACTCATTTTGCTTCGACTCCCATCCAAACGGGGCAAATCCACTTGAAGCTGTTTTCATTTTCTGAAAGACCATTGTCTGTCTTAGGGCTGTGTGAATACAGGTAGTCCTCGACTTATGACCACAACGGAGGCCAAACTTTCTGTTGTTAAGTGAGGCATTTGTTGCAGAGGTGGTATTCAGCAGGTTCTGACCAGTTGTGGAGAACCAGTAGCGAAAATTTTGAGTAGTTTGGAGAACCGGCAAGTACCACCTCTGACTGGCCCCTCCCCCATCTATTCTCCGCCTCCCGGGTCCCAGCTGATTGGCTGGTCTTCTTTTGTTGCCCTGCACAGGAGAACAGAGCTGGAAAGCAGGTTAGTGGGGTGGAGAGGGAATGGGGATTTTACAGTATCCTTCCCCTGCCACACCCACCAAGCCACGTCCACAGAACTGGTAGTAAAAAAATTTGAATCCCACCACTGCTTTGTTGAACGAGTTTTGTCCCATTTTACATACCTGTCTTGCCACAGTTGTTAAGTGAATAAATTGAAGCTGTTAAGTTGGTCACCCGGTTGTTAATTGTCTTTGCTTGTCCGAAGGTCGCAAAAGGGGATCCCATGACCTTGGGACACAGCAAACAGTCATAAGTATGAAGCAGCTGCTAAGTATCTGAATTTTGATCACGTGATCATGAGGCTGCTCCAAAGGTCATCACTGTGAAAAACAGTCCTATGTGTCTTTTTTCAGTGCCGTTGTAATTTTGAATGGTCACTAAATGAACTGTTGTAAGATAAGGACTATCTGTATTAGGACATTCCCAGTTCAAGTCAGCACTTATGTTGAAAGTAGCAAGCTATTCCAGGCAAACATTTTCTTGCCAAACTTAATTTTTCTTTGCCCCCATGTAAAAAAGGATGCAAATAGTCCTTGACTTAACAACCATTCATGCAGTGACTGTTCAAAGTTACACCAGCCACTGTAAAAAAAAAAAAGACATATAATCGGTCCTCGCACTTATGACCGTCACAGCATCCCAAGGTCACAGGATTGTGATTTGCAACCTTCCCGGCTGGCTTCTGACAAGCAAAGTCAATGGGAGAAGCCAGATTCTCTTCACATAATATAACATAACATAAGAAGTGCAGTGATCTACTTAACAACCATGGGTGGGGGGGAAACATTCAGCATGATTCACTTAACCACCATCTGGCTTAAGCAACTGTGATGACCTGGGGTGTGGCACAAAGGTAACGCAGATAAGCAATAAGAGTCCCTTTATTATCTCCAACTTTGCCCCCAATGTCCAGGTTACCTTCTTGCTGGAGAAAAACTCTCCCAGGAACAGCCTTTGACTGCAGAAAATTGAGTCCAAAACAAGGTACACACAAACTGTAACTTAAAATCCAAGCAAACCAAACTGAAGTAACCAGTTTGGCAGGGCAGGAGCAGGAATTTCAAACTTGAAAGCACGGCAAAACTCATACAGTTGGGAAGATGCCAGGAACACAGATAAGCCACGACGATACAAGATAAAGTCACGTTTGCTCCCAACAGCCTGCTGCATGCAGCTTGCCTTTTTTATACACTTTGTTCCCAGCTGCAGCTAATGAAGGGAATCAGGGCCCTTTCCTCCCCCTTAAGCCACGCAACTCATGTTGTTCTCTTCTCCATTCCTCCATGCGTGCCCTATGATGAAGAGGGGGTGGGCCTGGGTCTTCCTCTGAACTCCCTCTCCCTTGTTCTACCTCTTCCCTGCTCTGCCCAGCCGGACTTTGCCCTTCCCCAGTTTCTTCCACAGCCAACGAAGCCACACTCCTACTCCCTGTCAGCTGTTTGGCTTCCTCCTCTGAGTCAGATTCCAATGGGGACATGACAGCAACAGAAATTCTTGTCCGGATTGTGGTCGTAAATCTGAGGACTACCTGTAACATTTTTAATCCTTTGGGAGAGAAGTTGGATCAATCAACTAGATTTTGGATACAATAGAGTAGAGTAGAGTAGAGTAGAGTAGAGTAGAGTAGAGTAGAGTAGAGTAGAGTAGAATAGAATAGAATAGAATAGAATAGAATAGAATAGAATAGAATAGAATAGAATAGAATAGAATAGAATAGAATAGCAGAGTTGGGAGGAACCTTGGAGGTCTTCTAGTCCAACCCTTGCTCAAGCAGGAGACGCATTTCAGACACCTAATGGCTTACCTATGGAGGATCATCATCTGAAATGTTGTAGTCTCAACTTTCAGCAGTGCCTGATGGAAGTCCCTAACCCTAGACCTTTGCTCATGCAGGAAATTTTATACCATTTCAGACAAATGTTTGTCCAAAAACTTCCAATTTTGGAGCATTCACAACTTCTGGAGACAAGTTGTTCCACTGATTGATTGTTCTAACTGTCAGGAAGTTTCTCCTTGGTTCTAAGTTGCTTCTCTCCTTGATTAGTTTCCATCTATTGCTTCCTGTCCTGCCTTCAGGTGTTCTGGAGAATAGCTTGACTCCCTCTTCTTTGTGGCAGCCCCTAAGATATTGGAACACTGCTATCATATCTTCTTTAGACTAGACATACCCAGTTCCTGCAACCGTTCTTCATATGTTTTATCCTCCAGTCCCCTAATCATCTTGGTTGCTCTTCTCTGCACTCTTTCTAGAGTCTCAACATCTTTTTTACATCATGGCGACCAAAACTGAATGCAGTATTCCAAATGTGGTCTTACCAAGGCCTTATAAAGTGGTATTAACACTTCACATGATCTTAATTCTAGAACTGTAGCAAAAATCCTATTCTTAAATTGCTGGAAAGAAAGGAAGAGCTGTCTTCCCATCTGACATAAAATTGACCGTATCACTTCCGAGGATAAAAACGTATGCACTTTTCTGCAAAGAACATACCTTTTTGTCATTTTATCAGCCCCCAACGGGTTTCATATCTGCTGACGTGCTTCAAAGCAGAAAAGAGATGAGTGTTTTTATTGCTAAAGATGCTACTGGTTAAAATGCATTAGACTTTGATTTAAAACACACACACTCTATTTCCTCTTAGCGAGTTTATGAGTTTTCCGAGTGTTATTACGACTACCACGGCATGAGAAATACAGAATATACTGTCAACACTAAATATTTTCACAACTGGAGATATAGGAGCAAAATTAGGTATTACCCTTAGTATTGTGGTAGGCAATTACAGTCGTCACTGAGCATAAAACCAAGACTGAATGAAAGCTAACATAAATATAATATCCTATCTCTCAAAAATGCTCAAGTTATGATTCTTCTAATTCTTATCCCAGCTCTCTTTAAAACTTGGTTCATTTTTTCACCCAATTTTTCTGTACTCAGAAGGATACAGGTAACCCTCGACTTACGATCAAAATTGGGACCAAAATGTCTGTCACTAAGTGAAGCATTTGTTAAATGTGTTGCGTCCAATTTGGCAACCTTGTTTTTGCTATGATGATTAAGTGAATCACACCTTAGGAGTGGTGCGGTGGCCTAGAGGGGGAGCTCTCGCCTCCCAATCAGGAGGCTGTGAGCTCGATCCTAGGTAGAGGCAGATATTTCTCTCTCTGGGCACAATGAGAATATATCTGCCGAACAAAACTCTGCATTGGCGTCAGGAAAGGCATCTGGCCAGTAAACACTCTGTTAGCTTCATTCAGTTGCCCAGACTCCACCCCACAAGGGATTATGGGGTCATTAAAAGATGATGATTAAGTGAATCACAAGTTGTTAAGTGAATCTAGCTTTTCCCTTTGAGTTTGTTTGTGGGAAGCCATCTGGGAAAATTTGAAATGGCAATCATCTGACTCCAGGACACAGCAACTGTAATAAATACATGTTGCCAGATGCCTATATTTTGATCCAGTGACCATGAGGATGCTGCAATGGTCATAAATGTGAGGACCAGTTTCAAGTCCCTTTTTTCATGGCTGTTGTAACTTCAAATGATTACTAAACAAGGTCTTCCAGTTTGAAGGGCTTCGGCGACAGACAGAAATCCGCGATCGTGCACGGTTTCTGTCTGGGCTCGCCGCTGGAGCGCCCCGAGCCGGCTGGTTTTGGGGCTAAGCCACCCCGTAGAGGTGGTGAAGTGGGAGGAGACCGCCAGCAGGGTCGAGGAGAGCCGCATCTCTCCTCCTCAGCTGGCTATTACTCCCTTTCCCGAAGGCAGTTGCAGTGGTGGTCAGAAATGGCCACCACAAAGAAGAACTCGACCGGAAAAGAATGTGCAGGAGGAAGATAAGAAGTGAAAGTTTTGGCTGACCGGGTTAAATTGTAAAAGCAACAGCCGAGGTACCCTAGAATTTAAACGTACAAAAAATAACATCACTCCCAAAGAAGAGTCAGAAGCAGCGAAGTAAAGTGAAAAGGGAAAGGTTTGGCTTTTTTTTCTTTCTTCTCTCTCCTTCCCTATACTGACAACTAAGAAACTTAAATAAGAAATCAAAAAAATCCGCTTTGACATCAATAGGCAATTAAGCTGAAAATAAAACAAAATGCCAAAGGGATAATAAAGATTTCTGGACATTAAACACTTTCTTTTTTATAAGCAGGAAGGGAGAAAAAAAGAATAAGGGCAGGATCTGGAAGAGGGAGGAGACTGCCTGGAATTAAAAAGCATCTAAAGTCAAACTTCAACAAGACTTCTAAAAGATACATTTTAACTGAAACTTTGCAACTAAATAGTAACCCCAGGAAGAGAAAGTGAAAAAAGAGAGCAAAAAATAAACAGCTTGCGTATATTTGGATTATTTGGTGATCTTTGGATTCTTGGTTATTATAAATGTATATAATTAAAACAACATTCCATTCCAAGTCAATTCTATCATTAATATTAATATTCATTAAAGTCTTAACATCTTTAACATTACTTTTCAATTAAATATCATACTTCTATGGGAACAATTATAAGCTTTCCATAATTCCCCCCCTTCACTTATATTTTATAAAACATTAACTAATTAAAATGTTCCCGTTCCTTCCTAATTCAATTTTCTCATTTATTTTATTTCACTTATTTTATTCACAAACATTTCACTAAATTACACTAACTATTTTATCCCTAATTTTAATCATACATTGTTTCCAATTTTCTAAAGTTATTTCTATTACTAATATAACAATACAATCTTATGTACCTTTACAGAATCCCTTTTTCAGTTAGATTTTCACCCATTATCTCTAAATAGGTCCTGTTTCTCTATATCTTGTCCTGGTCCTTTGTAACTCTCCTCCTCCTCCTCCTTTCTTACTACATTACTACGTTTGCAACCTTCTGACAGGCAAAGTCAATAGGGAAGCCAGATTCACTGAACAACCGTGGCAGGAAAGGATTGCATAAATGGGAGCAGAACTCCCTTAACAAATGTTTCGCTTAGCAACAGAAATTTTGGGCTCAATTGAAGTAGTAAGTTGAGGAACTACCTGTATTGAAGCTTTTGAACTTTGGCATTGGAGAAAACTCTTTGAGAATAGCATGGACAGCCAGGAAACAATCCAATGGAGCATTGAAGAAATCAGAACCCAATGTTCTGACTTGAGGCACAAATGACCAGGTTCAAATTATCCTACTTTGGATGCATTATGGAAAGAACTAACTCTCTGGAGAAGGTTCTAATGCTGGCAAAGGTAGAAAGAAAAAGTAGAGGGAACATAGGTTCACATAATGTGGCAACAGGGGGGGCGGATTCAGCTGGTTCGGGCTGGTTTGAGTGATCTGGTTGTTAAATTTACATCTGGTTCGCTGAACTGGTAGTTGAACTGACTGGCTGGCCTTGCCCACCCCTCCCCTCCCAGGTGTCTCCATGTGGCCCGTTTTGGATACAGGTAAGTGCAGGGTCCATGCGAAGGTTCTGGGAGGGCGAAAAATGGCCCTTCTGGAAGTCCGGAAATGGGCCTGTTTCCAGATTCCAGAGAACCTCTGGAGCCCAGAGGAGGCCATTTTCACCATTCCAGAAGGGCCATTTTTCGCCCTCCCAGAACCTTCGCATGGACCCTGCACTTACCTGTATCCAGACATTGGGGAAAGCAAAAAACAGCCCTCCTGGAAGTTCTGGTAGGCCACGCCCACCATGGCCACGCCCACTCAGCAACCGGGCAGAGAACCAGGTGTTGGGATTTTTGAATCCCACCCTGTGTGGCAATTTGGGCATTGTTGGAAGACCTGAAGGACCAGGTTAAGGACAATCACCATGGAGAAAATCTTTGTGGTTGCTAAGAATCTCCAGTGGCCAGATGGCACACAGTCAATAACAATCCATCAATTACAAGGGGAACAATAGAAAGAAATGGCCTTTGCACAAGCGACAGGTATATATACTGATTATTTTACAATGTAGCCTAGAGCAGAAATCAACCCGATGACGTAAATTAAAATAAATGTGGCCATAACTGGGTGGAAGAAACATATGCTCACATATTTATTACCTATTCACTCAATTTGTCCCTGCTGCAAATAGCAGCACTCTCAAGTGGGCACAACAACATGTAGTAATACAATAAACATCCTTAAGAAAAGGATCAGAGCAGTTCCCGCCTTCTAAAAAAGACACTAAAATACAAATCATTCATGATACTTTACCAGTTTCTCTGTTTCCTTAGGCTCTTGGGAACAACTCGATCTTTAACAATTGTGGGGAAAGCTATAAAGTGAGGGTGTCGGGCTCTAAAATCAAGAAATATCTGAGGTACTCCAAAGCAATTTCCTTTATTGTTCCTCATTTTCAGGTGTTCTTCATCTATAGACAGAAATCTTGCCAAACGAAAACGCTTGTATCAATAAAAATGTACTTTGAGAACTATTAATTCTCTTTCTCCTTCATAAACTATCTAAATTCTGCTGTCTCTTGCCCCTCTGGAATGCAGCCCCTCCCTAATGGGAATCCAGACTACATTCAACCACAGTGGGCCATCTTAGTATCAAGCACGTGTTCGACAGGATGGGTATAGCCACCAGCCCCCCCCCCCAAATGTACTGTACTTCAGTTTTCCAACATTCTCATTGAGGTCTTCTGGAATCCCTAATCATTTTTCTGGACAAATATGTAGATTCCAGCCAGGATTTGGTTATGACCAAGTTTAGATATTTGTTTCTACAAGTTGATCATTGAGCGAAGCCAGAAATAACTGAAGATTTGATCCAGGGATCTGTTTGAATGTACAGATATAGATTAACAGAGTTGGAAGGGACCTTGTAGGTCATCTAGTCCAACCCCCTGCCCAAGCAGGAGACCCTACACCATTTCTGACAAATCGGAGTCCAATCTCTTCTTGAAAGTCTCAATTGATGACACTCCCACAACTTCTGGGGGCAAGCTGTTCCATTGGTTGATTGTTCTCACTGTCAGAAAGTTTCTCCTTATTTCCAGATTAAATCTCTCCTTGTTCCGTTTCCATCCATTATTCCTTGTCTGGCCTTTTGGGTACTTTGGAAAACAGCTTGACCCCTTCCTCTCTGTGGCAACCCCTCAAATATTGGAAGACTGCTGTCATTGTCCCCTGGTCCTTTTCCTCACTAGACTAGCCATGGCCAGTTCCTGTAACCATCCTTCATCCTGGCTGCTCTTTTCTACCTGCTCCTGCCCAGCTACAAGCAAATGATTGACTTCACCTGTAGCAGAACTGAGTCCTTTTGCAAAACATACAACTTGTGAATGCTTTGAGGAACTCCTAACAGGGTTGGCCTTACTACCATGTCACCAAATCCTTTCGCCCCCTCCCTCTTCTATGGCAGAAAAGTTAAGATGCACGTTCATAGCACCAGTCAAATTACACGGATATATAATGTGATTGGAAGCATCAAAGGAGCAGTGGAGCCTGGTGAGTTTTGAATGTCAATGACTTTATTTAAAACAAGAACGGGCAGGGTTTGGGTAGCAGGAAACCAAGTTAAGCACATGGTTAAGGAAGGCAAAGATTACAGTGGATGGCATAAGGAGGGCATATCCATGATTGTTTGTTTTGGGGGGAAGTATTGGAATTAATGCTTTCCCGGTCATATTAATTCTGTTTTAATACTTATAGAATCTTCTTTTTTGGCTTCTGCTTCAAAATGTGGATACCAGAGTTCTGAAGAGGTAGCAGGAATTTAAAGCAATATCAAGAAATAACAGGAGTCAGTAGAAACATCAGAAGCTTTGGACACAGACTGATGGCCCAATGCAAGTCACAATTGCTGGTCAATGGTGATAGAATGGAAGAGATTAATATCAAGACTCTTCCAAGGAGACTCACTTTCACTACTACTTGTCTATGGAGATTCTCAGACATCCAGGCCATAGTTGTCCCAAAGGTGCTTTTTCAAGGGGCAACTAGACTTTCTGGCTTTTCTTTGAAGACATTTCGCTTCCCATCCAAGAAGCTTCTTCTTCTGAAGAAAGGATGAGGAAAGTCTTCAAAGAAAAACCAAGAAGTCTAATGGCCTCTTGAAAAAGCAGCTTTGGGCCAACCATGGCCTGGATGACTGAGAATCTCCATAGGCATTTAGCAATGCAGAGCTGAAAAAGCTTCTTGGATGAGAAGTGAAACATCTTCAAAGAAAAAAACAGATACCAGGTTTCCAAGAGATGAAACTCATTCAAAAAGAATTATGCAACGTCTGTCTTCCAAAACAAATTTCTTTTAATTTAGGTAATCATCAAATTGGCAAAGTCTGTTGTAATTCCAGATTGGACACAAACCGGAATTACACCATGTTAATATTGTAAATTAAAAACAACCCACAAAAGTCACATTCCCCAATAAAACAAAATCAACATCGCCTGGTGTCTTCAAACTCCACCTCCAGTTCTCAGCAGGGACAGCCTCTCTTCCCATGGAAAAAGAAGTCACTTAGCCAAAACAGTCGTCACTATCTACTCACTCCTCCCACCTTAAGAATGTAGTGAGCCTGAACCCACCCCTTACACAAATCAAAAGAAAGGAATATATTTGAATATAGAGCTAAATAAAATGGCTCTACACCAGAAAGTCCAGTTGCCTCTTGAAAAATCCCCTTTGGGTTTCACCACTACTGTTTGTCCCTGCGCTGATTCCTCTGTCAGCAATACTGAATAACTGAGGCCATAGCTACCCAGCCTCAAAGACCTCTGTCAGGCTATCCCACCACCTTTACATCTATTTTATATTACGTCTATCGTGGCTTGGGACCAGGTTATCTGAGGGAATGTCTCTTGCCGGTCACATCTACCTGACCCATCAGAACGGGGAGGCAGGGAATGCTGTAGGTCCCATCCCTGAGGGAGATAAACCTGGTGGGACCCAGAAGAAGGGCCTTCTCCATGGTGGCTCCCTCTCTCTGGAATATCTCTCAGAGATTAAAATGGCCCCATCACTAATCCTCTTCCGGAAGGCACTGAAGACCTGGTTCTTCCAGCGGGCCCGGGGAACCCATCAAATGGCTCATGGGATCTGCTGTCGTTGGGACGGAGTGGGTGGGAGTTGGAAGGTGATTCTCACCCCCCACCCCCAGATTTTGTTTTATAGTACTTTATTAATTTATTTGATTCTTTTTGTTAGTTTTTATTGTTTTTTTTAATTTTAAATATGGTTTTATATTCTGTAATCCACCTCAAGTTGCCATAGGCAAATAGGCAGCAATATAAATTCAATAAATGAATGAATGAATAAATATTTCTGAAATAGAAAAGAGAAACTCTAGCAAGTTTGTACTGAATTTTATGAAAGTGTGTTGTTCTTATGCTTACTTTTCTTAGATAGATATGTAATTTTGGGAGGCCACAGAGATTCCTGGGTCTTTGGGGGTATTGATCCCACCACAGGAGCTGCTGTCCTTCAAGAAGTTGCTCGTGGTTTTGGCAAGATGATGGAGAAGGGTAAGATTAATAGCTGGAGAGCCGCGGTGACACAATGGTTAGAGTGCAGTACTGCAGGCTACTTCTGCTGACTGCTGGCCAGCAGTTCGGCAGTCCGATTCTCACCAGGCTCAAGGTTGACTCAGCCTTCCATCCTTCCGAGGTGGGTAAAATGAGGAGTCAGATTGTTGAGGGCAACAGGCTGACTCTGTAATCCACTTAGAGATGGCTGTAAAAGCACTGTGAAGTGGTATATAAGTCTTAGTGCTATTTCTATTGCTAATAGATGGAAAAATTGGGAACCCAAAGCAGAGATGGGATGTGCTGGGATCTAAATGTCAACATGAGTTTGAAGAATTCTAAGTCACATTGATCCTTTGCTCATTAAATGTAGCAGGTAAATAAAACTCACAAATGAAGCAAAATCCTCTTCCAAAGATAAAGGAACAGAGGTTTCTACTGAGCAGCTTAAACCTCCTTCGTCGTGCTAAAAATGATTTATTTGCTTCATTTTAAAACTAACCTCAAGCTTATTTGTCTGTAGACCTTGCTAGGTTTGCATCTTCAGCCATCAGCAGGGCAAAGAATTAAGGTTTCTCTGTAATCTTCATTTCATCTTGCGTAGGTTGGAGGCCAAGAAGAACAATCATTTTTGCCAGCTGGGATGCAGAAGAATTTGGATTATTAGGCTCCACAGAGTGGGCAGAGGTGAGTGAAGGACTCCGTAGGATTGTATTATTCATGCACAGGTTGTCCCCAACTTATGACCACTGAAAAAAGTGGGTTATGATTGCTGCTCACAAATGGGATGGGATGGGGTGGGATGGGATAGAATAGAATAGAATAGAACAGAACAGAACAGAACAGAACAGAATAGAATAGAATAGAATAGAATAGAATAGAATAGAATAGAGTAGAGTAGGGTAGGGTAGGGTAGGGTAGGGTAGGGTAGGGTAGGGTAGGAGAGGAGAGGAGAGGAGAGGAGAGGAGAGGAGAGAAGAGAAGAGAAGAGAAGAGAAGAGAAGAGAAGAGAAGAGAAGAGAAGAGAAGAGAAGAGGGGAACATGAGAGGAGGCAGAGCAGAGCCAGGAAAGCCCCCGGAGCCCGGGGAGGGTAAAAGCGTCCCCCCTCCCCATGGTGCACGAGACTGACTAGGCCATGCCCACCATGGCCATGCCATTTTTGAAGTCCACCCCTGTCCCCAACGATCTGGGTCCTCATTTTACCAACCTCAGAAGGCTGGAAGGCTGAGTTAACCTTGAGCACGTCGGGATCGAATTCTGGACTGTGGGCAGAGTTAGCCTGCAACACTGCATTCCAACCACTGAGCCACCAGGGCACAGCATGATTGGTACATCAGGGCTAAAGACTGATTGGCCACACAGAAAATGCTGAACTTCAAGTCCTGGCTTTCATTGGCTATGGCAATGGGAGCTTCTGGGAATTGTAGTTTAGCAAGTTTTGGAACATTTCCAGTTTCCCACTTTTGATTTAGATGCTATTCATGATCAATAATAATGGGCATAATACAGTTCTTTTCTTTTTCTTTTTTGTAATTGCAGGAGAACAGCAAACTTCTTCAAACACGGGCAGTGGCTTACATCAACACTGATTCTTCCATTGAAGGTGAATATCTGATAAACTAGCACTGATGAAAACCAAACTCAGAGACCCCCAAAGACCCCTGAATATCCCTGAGTACACTTAGTCAACCTTGAGAGATCTTGTAAAGCTTAAGTAGGATTGGACTTGACTAGGACTTGGCTGGGAGATGACCAAGGAATTGTGGACCTGTGGACTAGGCCGTAAAGGTGAAAAATATTCTGGAAGAAGGTAAAACCATTTCTATACCATCCAGGAAAGTGGCATGGATGTGTTCACAAAGTTATAAGAATCCGACTCAACTCAAAGGAGATTATTCTTTATAGCAATATCTTGAGGGTCACAATTTTCCAATCTGGTATTAAGAGATGTGTGCAACACAACTCATACAGGATCCAAAGCTACAATCAAATCATGGGTTCCAATAGCCATAACTGTAATCTGTAAGCTACAGGAACAAAAGGTAGCTTGTCTTTTAAGCTTCCCTTAAAACAAGCTACAGATTATTTAGTTAACTGCATTTTAAACCAGATCATACACGCAATTCTATCTTGGACAAGGAAGCTACTGTAAGCAGGATTGGATAGAGCCACAGTGGCACAGTGGTTAGAATGCAGTATTGCAGGCTAATTCTGCTGACTGCCAGCAATTCAGCAGTTCAATTCTCACCGGCTAAAGGTTGACTGAGCCTTCCTTCCTTCTGAGGTCAGTAAAATGAGGACCCAGATTGTTGGGGACAACATGCTGACTCTGTAAACCACCTAGAGTGGGCTGAAAAGCCCTCCTATTGCTATGACTATTGTTTTGCCAACTAAATGTGGAAAGCCATCTTTGTTTTACTACTGATTCAGTACTGCAGTATTGCAGGCTAACTCTCCCCAGTCCAGAGTTTGATCCTCATGTGGCTCAAGGTTGACTCAGCCTTCCACCCTTCCAGTAAAATGAGGACCCAGATTGTTTGGGAGCAATATGCTGACTCTGTAAACTGCTTAGAGAGGGCTGTAAAGCTCTATGAAGCGGTATATAAATCTAAGTGCTATTGTTATACGGTCTGTAGACTGAGCCAGGAGTGGAAGGTTGAGTTATACCTTGCAGGAAAGTGGTGGCAAATCATTTTTATTTATGCATATATTTTTTTGATGGTAGGAGAGAAAAGATTGTGGAACATCCATTTGTCATCAGGAATCAAGATTGGCTTGAAGGACACTCTTCATACAATGGAGACATTGTAGGAGAAGGAATGGCAGAGCCTGGATCAAAAGAGGAATCAGCTTAGAATCACTAAATAGCCACAAATGGACTTAGACCAACCCCTCTTTAATTTCATTAACCCTCATCTAGTGGCCAAATAGTGCTAACCGTGTTAACTAGATTCCTGTACATAGGAGTAACAATAAACCAGTCTTAATTGAAACTTATAGGGGACTCGGTGGCTCGGTGGCTAAGACGCTGAGCTTGTTGATCAGAAAGCTCGGCAATTCAGCAGTTCGAATCCCTAGCACTGTGTAACGGAGTGAGCTTCCATTACTTGTCCCAGCTTCTGCCAACCTAGCAGTTCGAAAGCATGTAAAAATGCAAGCAGAAAAATAGGGACCCCTTTGGTGAGAAGATAACAGCGTTCCGTGCGCCTTTGACATTGAGTCATGCCGGCCACATGACCACGGAGATGTCTTCGGACAGTGCTGGCTCTTCGGCTTTGTAACGGAGATGAGCACTGCCCCCTAGAGCCAGAAACGACTAGCACATGTGTGTGAGGGGAACCTTTACCTTTTAATTGAAACATAATGTGTGGCCTTGGTTTTTCGTGCCTGATAGTCATGAAGACTAGGCAGAGATGGAGGCTACCTTATTCTTAGGCAGTTTCTCTTTCTACATTTATTTTTCTAATAAGCATCTCTCTTATCTTTTGCAGCCCCGTTGGGCTGTGCCCACATCCTAATCTGCACAGAGCCCTTGGGAGAAGCCAGCTCCCCCGAATTTAATTAAGTAAGCCGTGATTAAGTGGGAAGCTAGAATGAAAGACAGATTGCAAACATCCAGCCTTCAGCCACCATTATAAGTTAAGGTAAGCATAAGAACCCTGCCCTAATCTGTGAGATTTGGGAGTGGTTTTTTGCTGAAATGCCCTTCTTTTTTGGGAAGAAGAAATAAAACTGGAATAATTTCTGTTCCAGCAGAATGAGGGTTAGCCAATTTAAAACAGATTTTAAAAAAATGTGAAATTCATTTTTAGCACTGTCAGCGTGAACATCTTCCTAGCAACAGATGCTCATTTAAAAAATAGATTATTATTAGCTGTTCAAGTACAGTCTCCTTCAAGTTGAGCCTAATGTTTGGTGATTTGGTAAACTTGTTCACACATCCATGCAGTTTTCTTGGCATTACTGGGGAAATTTATGCCTTCTTTCTCGATTTTTTTTAAACTTTCCATCTATTCTCCAGTTCTTGGATTTCCTTGTAGTTTTCCATCCAGATACTAACCAAGTGATGTCCGACTTAACTTCTGAACTCCAGGAAGATTTATCAAGTGCTGCAAGTTTCTAAGACACTGATGTTAACAGAATAACAGAGTTGGAAGGGACCTTGGAGGTCTTCTAGTCCACCCCCTTCTCAAGCAGGAGACCCTGTATCATTTCAGACAAATGGCTGTCCAATTTCTTCTTTAAAACCTCCAGTGTTGGAGCACGCACAATTTCTGGAGGCAAACTGTTCTACTGGTTAATTATTCTAACTGTCAGGAAATCTCTCCTAAGTCCCAGGTTGCTTCTCACCTTGATTAGTGTTATAATTACTATTGTTTAATGATGATGGTGGTAGCATTACAAACTTAAATGCGATAATGTTTACTGTATAGGCCAGGGGTGTCAAACTTGATTTCATTGAGGGCAACATCAGGATGGGCATGGCCAGAGTGGGCATCACTCCTGTGTGGGGGGAGGGCACCTGTGGTGGCCAGGTGCTAAGGAGGACTTCCTTCAGACCCTCCCTCTCTCTCATTATAATCTCCTTCCTTCCTTCCTTCCTTCCTTCCTTCCTTCCTTCCTTCCTT